AGCATGTTGTTTGTTGTGTGTTGGAGTAAACTCATGAAATTGGGATTCATGAAAAACCACATCTCTGCTTCGAATGACTTTCTTCATTTTGGGATCCCACAACCTGTATCCAAAATCTTGATCTCCGTAGCCGATGAAGATGCACGGGTTTGACTTAAGATCAAGTTTTTGCCTCAACTCCTTAGACACATGTGCAAATGCCTTGCACCCGAACACTTTCAAGTGAGAGTAAGAAATGCTTTTTCCTGACCATTTCTTCTCAGGAGCTTCAAAGTTTAAGGGAACTGAGGGTGACCTGTTTATAAGATAGCAAGCTGTTAGCATAGCTTCGCCCCATAATGGCTTTGGAAGTTTAGCCATACTGAGCATGCACCAAACTTTCTCCACGATAGTTCGATTCATTCTTTCGGCTACACCGTTGTGTTGTGGGGTCCGTGGCACTGACTTCTCATGTCTGATTCCATGTTCAGCACAATATGTTGAGAATTCTCGAGAAGTGTACTCGCATCCATTGTCAGAACGAAGGCACTTCAGCTTCTTTCATGTCTCTCTTTCTACCATAGTATGAAATATTTTAAAGCGATCAAATACTTGATCCTTAGTTTTGAGACAGTAAGCCCATACCTTCCGTGACGCATCATCAATGAATGTCACAAAATATTTGCTGCCTCCAAGTGACTCCTCTTCAATGGGTCCACATACATCATAGTGGACAAGGCTTAGTAACTCAGGATGATTTTTTCTAGTGGAACTGAAAGAAACCCGGTGTTGTTTCCCAAATAGACAGTGTTCGCATGGGTCCAAAGCAACATCTTTGTCAATAGAAATTGCTTCCTTCTTTGCAAGAGTTGTCAGTCCCTTCACGCTCATGTGGCCTAACCTCCGGTGCCACAAATTTGGTGATGTCTCTCCTTGAATAGCATTGAGACTTGGACGACACAACTTTACATGGGTTTTATAAAGAGTACCACAAATATGACCTCTTGCAATAATCATAGAGCCTTTAGATAATTTCCACGTACCTTCTTTGAATTGGCTTTCATACCCCTGATGATCCAGAGCAACTCCTGAGATAAGATTCAATCTCAGATCCGGAACATGCCGAACATCTTTCAACACAAGTGTGCAACCAACACTTGTTTGAATGTGCACATCTCCAATGCCAACAATGTTTGAGAAACTTGTATTTCCCATCTTCACAACACCATGGTCTCCAGGATTATAAGTTGCAAATAAATTTAGGTGCGGAGTGGCGTGAAATGATGCAACGGTATCAATCACCCATTCAATATCATGTGTACCTACATGTAGGCATGCTTCTTCTCCGCAAGTAACAAGTGCAATGTCTGGTGCCATGGTGACCATGGTCTCACCATCTTCTCTGCTTGAACTTTGACTTGTCTGAGGCTGCTCCCGTAGAAACCTTCGACATTCCCTCTTTCTGTGCCCATAATGACCACAATGGTTGCAATAGCCCTCGAACCAAGTATTGGTATCGACGGACTTTCCCCTCTATTGTGATCTTCCTCGAACTTGAGATCTCCCTCTACTTTGACCTCGAGCTCTACCTCTGCCTCGACCTCGTCCTCTACCTCCATTTCTGCCTCCCCCTCGCCTGCTGGTTTCTGAGATGAGAGCATAAGAGTGATCAGTCCCAGCTTCATTCCTTCGTGCTTCCTCATTCATCAAGGCGTCCGTGACCATCTGCAAAGTGACGGTATCATTTGGGGCAGAATTACTGAGAGTAACAACAAGAGTCTCCCAATTATCAGGTAGAGAGCTAAGTAGAAGTATTGCTTGTTCTTCATCTTTGAGGACCCATCCAGTGGTGCTTAATTGGTTCACAAGATCCTGGAACTGACTCGTGTATTCCGACACAGAAATGCCACCGCGTAACTTGTGGTTCACTAATCGTCTCATCAACATCGTTTTATTCCGAGCAGTTTTTGCTTGGTACATGCTACTAAGTTTCTCCCACAGTGTGTGACCACTTTTTTCTTGAGAAACATGATGGAACACGCCATGATCAATCCACTGTCGGATTTGTGCGACAGTTTTTCTATTCATCTTAGCCCATTCTTCATCCGTCTTTTTATCTGGTTTGACGCCATTATTATCAAGTGGATCTGCTAAATCTTTCAAATTTAGCAAATCCTCCATCCGAGGTTTCCACATGTTGTAATTTGTGGAAGTGAGCGCAATCATTGTATCCGAAGATGACTTTTCCATGATAAAAATGTACACTTATTCTCGTACCTCAATTTGAAAGCTGAACTGGGCCAAACGGAGCACACCGTTGAATCCGGAATGGCCAAAAATGGTGGGTACCGATCTTACCTCTTCAAGAACCGGCAGGGAAAAGCGTGAACCGGAGTATTGAACCATGAATCGAACCGGACCAGTTCTGGCCAAAACCAGTGGGCAGCCAACCACCTGGCAGTGACGTGTTTGTGACGTGGCAGATGACGTGTACAGTCGGTGGTCCAATCGGCCGGTCATCGGTGACGTGGCAGATGACTTGGCGCTGACGTGTCGATGACGTGGCGTGCCCTGGTGATGACGTGGCTAGATGACTGGTCATCTTCTCCGGCGAGGTTGCTGCCGGACTGGAGTACTGCAGCGGCTTGACTGGCAGGAGAGAGAAACTTTGACCGGACGGTTGAAGGCCTTCCGATGCTCAAAAAATTCCGAAAAATATATTTTTGGTATCCTCAAAACGAGAGCTTTCTAATGGTAACCTCAAAACAAGATTCTGGAACAAAAAATGTTTGACCAAAAATTCGAGTAAAATGGTGAAATCTGGATTTCTAGACTAAACTGTCTCTAATACCACTTGTTAGGATTGGAAAATTCTTCTATTCATAACCAGAACAGAATTACAATAGGAGGAGCAACTCTCTCACTCAACTATTACAAAAAATCAACCCTTTCATACACTCACACTCTATGTGTATCACTCTCTATATTTCACTCCGAATTTTTTTGATGCCTTTCAACAATGGAATAGCATCCTATTTATAGGCAAGGCTGGAGACATATTCATTGGAGCCCATGCTACAACCCATGTCTCCTCTCCATGCCTCTCCATGCTTCTCTTCACTGGGCATAAGATGGAAGACCATCACATGATATGAAGGATGGAGTGGACTTGTTGGGAGCTGGAATTCTACACTAACTCCTTTTTGTTCTCAAACTGGTATGAGTTTGGGCCCATTTATCTCATGCATGATGATATCCCCATTTCTTTGAGTAACCTTTCCATAAAAGATGCTATGCATTTAAACCTTCAAGATAATATTTTTGCCATTATTTCTTTTGAATAACATAATACTTGATTATGATGTTAAAATAATTTTTTATATAAAGTTTGAGATACTTAAACAAAAAGATGCTATGCATAACAATGCCTTGATTCCAAAAGTTCATAACTGCCTCTCTAAAATCCAGATCAAATAAAGGAACCAAAGTCCATTTTACTGATTGTGATGACGTGTATCTTTTGAAACCCAACCCAAATGGCAAATTCATTGTAGTGCATATGATGTGTTAAGGCCAAAAATGAGTGAAAATCCCGATTTTAAATTCCTTTGAAACAATCGGACCCCTAAAAAGGTCTCGTTTTTCCTCTGAAAGATGGAAAACCATATTCTTCTATTCGAGGACAAACTTAACCAAATTGGTATTTTTGGACCCTTTAAATGCCCTTTCTGTCCATACGCGGACACCATCAACCATTTTTCCCTTGATTGTTTTTTCAGCAAAACTCTGTGGAACTGACGTGAATTTTCTCGCGATTAAAATAGATCGTAATATAGTGATGTAAGTACGAGTATTGTCTTCACAGGGACGGACAAAAGGGAATCAAGAATTAATTAAGTTCAGTGATTAAAAATAAATAAAATAAATGCGTCGTGTGAGATTGGTTGGTTGAATTGAAATTAAACTAAAGCGAATGAGCGATTAAAATAAAAGGTTGGTTTCGGGGTGAACAGGGATTGATTCCGGGGTAATCAGATTTCTGGCTGATCAGGCTTAATCACATGAAATTAATTTAATTGAGCCTAGCTAATCATCACTAAATTCTTGACGCTCTCGCGGCGTAGAGTACAATAATTTAGGGGACCGGGTTGATCTCTCATGCGACATGATCCTAAATTGTTGGGCCGTGGGCCGCGGGTATGCGGTGCCAGGAATTTGCCAGCCTGCCGGTGTAAAGGGGTAAAGAAACGTGGCGCTTCGCTTGTGCTATAAAAGGAAAGGAGCGTTGACGTGCACTTTGTCGTGAGGTGCACTCAAAATGAATACAATACAACAAATATACGTAGTATATTGAAGTAAGGTTCGTATCCACAGGGAAAGGAATACTTTTCTTTTATATAAATAGTAACAAGGAGGGTTTTAAGTTTGATTTGATTCAATTTAATTGACACTAAGATGAACGACTTATATGAGTTTAATTAATAGAGATGAGGACTTGATTTTGCTTTTATCCCCTTAATGAAATGTTCGTCGATCCCGGTTATATATTTAACTATCTTCCTCTCGAATACTCAATCGAGGAGTATATCCAGTTCATCGAGGGTAGTTATTAATAACGAGACGTGTTCATTAATAAAACTTACTACCGAGTCAATATAGAACACACGTCGTATATTAACCCGATAGTAGCAATAAACTTAAGATGAAAACGATTGAGATTGATAACCTCAACACAAGCGGTTTATTGGTTTAATCAATATAATTAATTTCCCTTAGATTATTAACCATGAGATGCATGCATTAATAATCCAAGTTTTACTACCGTTGAAGGAACCGAATTTATAACAAGCGTATTAATCGATTGATTCTAGTAATAACTAATATATGAAACAAAACTAGTTGATCCTTTAAGTAATGCTCAAAATATTAATATGGAATATGAATAGGAAATAATTAATATTCAAGGAAGAAGATAAAAGAAAATAACTCACAACTTACAAATTCATTAAGCTTCAAAGTAGCAAAACCAAGATGGAAGAGTTTAGCTCCTCATTTGGAGACTAAACATGAAGAAAATATAAAGAAAGAGCTTGTCTAAACTGAGCTAAGAAGTATATGTGAATTGGTGAGTTTAATGAGGGGGAAATGAGGTGTATTTATAGGTTTTTTAGGCTTGCAGGGTCGTGTACCTGATCGGGCTGTAAGGGCACTCGATTGGGTACTCGGTTGCTTCACGGAAGTATAAAAAACTGGGTCATACCCGATCGGGTATGTCGGCCACCCGATCGGGTATGAACACTCGATCGTGCCAAAATCTCCCCTACATGTTGCCTTGTTCCCGGTTGATCCGATTCGATGTTTTCAGCGACTTACCCGATCGGGTATAGATCATACCCGACCGGGTACAACACCAAAAATCAGAATCTTGAGATTTTTGCACCTTCCTTCCATTTGTGATGTTCACCAATGGTCCCTAGAGTGATCTTGGACCTGTTTGAGCTCAGTATAAACCTAATCTAAACAAATTACAAACATTTTTACAAATTAAACTATTACACCAAAAGTGTGTAAGTTCCAAGGTAACAATCAATCTAAACTAATTAAAAACATAAACGTAAACATGGAAATTACATGAATGTCAACTCCTCCACACTTAGTTTCTTTACTCGACCTCGAGTAAAACCAAATGTTTATACAATGTTCATCAAAAGATCATAAGTTCAAAGATAGTAAGAAATAAGAAACTAAGACCACCAAGTATTGTAAATCAGTTTACAGAACAACATTTCCTTGGGTTTAAGGGCCTTCTATGCTCCTTACTTCTTCTTTTCCTCTTCTCATTTTCTTCTTCTTTTCTTCAATAGATGATGCCCTGCAAAAACAAATTTTCTCTCATATCTCTCGTTTTGCCTAGGAGCCTTTTCAGGTTTTCATCCTATCATCTCTTTTCTTTTCCTTTTCTCACCACTCACTCATTATTTTTGTAAGCCCTTCTTGCTTAGATTGCCCATTTTTTTGAGGTTTTCAACCTAACTAGCATTTCATTTCCTTTTTTCTTTTTTTGTGTGTGTGTACAACCAGTACAAGAAAGTAATGCTCAGCGTAAGGTAATAAGAAAAAACAAAGGGAGTGTACATACCAAGAGATGAATTTCCCTCCCCCACACTTGAATCATGGCACTATCCCTAGTGCCTGCCTTCTCCTCCATAATAGCCACCTCCAAAGCCGCTCCCATGTACATCATCATTGTCTCCCATAGTAGTGTCCCCACCGTTGTATCCTCCACCGCCGGAACTAGAGCCACCAAAATTTCCCCAATCAGAGGGGTTATACCAAGAAGGTCCCGGTGGTGGTGAAGTCATAGATGAGAAATCTCCGTGATGGGCTATATATGAGTACATAGGACCATAAGCCCTACGATAGTCCTCTTCATAGCGGTGGAGGTCGGCTTGTCGTAGCTCCTCCATTCTTTGGAAACCCGCCCGTTGCTCCTCTCGGACTTGTGCAAGTTGTTCACCCATGTTCGTGTAGTTGAGGTTCATGGTGTTGAACTCGGCAATTAGTGCTTGTTGGCCCTCCAAGAGTTGTTGGAAAAAGTCTTGCAGTGATGGGTTTTGAGGGGGGTCGGGGATGTGGTGTTGGGCATGTTCATGTTCCTCTTGGTGCTCAGCTTGCTCCGGTTGGTGATCGTGTTGTTGCTCGGCTTGGTGGACTTGAGGTCGGAGGTGTGGTGGGATGTTGTTGGGGAGGAGGTAATGTGGAATGTCAAAAGGATCCAATTTGTACCTAAGTGTAGGTAATTCGTTGCATGGGAGAGGAAAGTATTTGATTGGTTCGGGGTACTTCATGTGCCATTTATAGTGTAGGGTTCCATTTTGGTCTTTATGGCTCAAAGAGATCAAGCCTGCATTGGATAACCATCCAATATGCATCAATGAATCTTTAGAAATTGGAGCAGGATCTACATAGCCAAATTTGGAAGCCAAATGCATGATGACCCCCCCCCCCCCCCCCCCTAGAACAATGTTCCCCCCCTTTCCCTGTAGCCTTCTCTAAATGATCCGAAATTAAGTTGCAAATGTTGAACCCAACAGGATTTCGGAAAAGAGCAAGGGTGAGTATGGCTACATCACCTATGCGAGTGTGGTGGTTGTTGGGTCGGCCAAGCAAGGAGTTGCACATAAACTTAAGAAAGATCTGGAGAAGGGGATGTTGCACGTGACTAATGTATAGTTGGGACGTGCTAAAATCCCGTTCTTCGGTCATTTTGCCCCATAAGTTATATGCATCTATAGTGTTGTCCGGGATTTCCCTTTCATGTGGAAATCGGAGCCCGAAATGCTCGGTAAAATCACGTCTCGTTATAGAGTGGTCGGTGTTCATCAACCGAAACGAGAGTGTATCATCATAAAAGTGGGTCTCATCCTTCTCAAATTTGGCCGAACTCAAAAATTCATAGATGACCCTCTCAACACAATTATATTGCAAATGAAAAATCAAGGCCATATACAATTCATCAAAGAGCTCTTTCATACCATCCAACAAGCCTAGAGAAGTAAGAGCATCATGGCATAAAAAGCGAGAGGGAGTGACTTTCCTTTTTAGTATAGCCACGAAGCGTTTGCGATGATCCCCGGGCCCGAAACGAACATCCTCATAGTTTCGAATAGGTCCCCTTGTGTTGGAGCTCTCTGGTTGGTTCCTTTTTGGTGCCATTGATGCTCAATTTGGAAGCTTGGAGTTGGACTTGGGATTTGGGGGTAGGGTTTCGGTTTTCTGAGAATAGGGAGGGAAAGTGAGATTGATTGGTATGAGGTTGTAGAGGAGAGTGTTTTGGTGGTGGTTTGATGGAATTTGGTTGAGTTTTGGTTGAGTTATGGAAGAAATAAGGTTCGAAAATGGAGTTTTGGGGGGAGAGTTCGAGTTTGGGGTAGGAGATTTTTGGGGAAGATGAACTGATTTCGGCTTCAATTTGGGTTTAAAACTCGTGTACCCGATCGGGTACCCCGATTACTCGATCGGGTATGCTTAGCTTTGTTCTTGTTATTTCATTTTCTCAAAGTTGAAATTCCAAAACAAAAATTGAAAAGAAAAAAATAAAAAATGCGTACCTTGGCTTGGGTTGCCTCCCAAGAAGCGCCTTATTTAACGTCGTGGCACGACGCCATAGTAGTGTTCATTCTTTATAGATTGGATCGAAGAGATCCATGCATTCATCGCTTTCTTTTTGGAAACCTTCAAGGAACGGTTTGAGTTGATGTCCGTTAACCTTGAAGATTTGATCGGTGTCAAAACTTTTGATCTCAACCGCTCCATGTGAGTAGACCTTGACCACCTCAAATGGTCCTTCCCACCTTGATCTTAACTTACGGGGGAAAAGACGAAGGCGTGATCTAAAAAGAAGGACTTTGTCTCCAATTTTGAAATCCTTTCTTGTTATCATTTTGTCATGCCATACCTTCGTCTTCCCTTTGTAGATGGCGGCGTTCTCATAGGACTCCAATCGAAGCTCCTCTAGCTCTTGGAGTTGTAGCTTCCTTTGTCTCCCCGCTTGCTCCATGTCAAGATTGAATGTTTTTACCACCCAATAAGACTTATGTTCGAGTTCGACTGGGAGATGACATGCTTTCCTGAATACAAGTCTATAGGGTGACATTCCAATTGGGGTCTTGAAAGCGGTTCTATATGCCCATAAGGCATCATCCATGCGAAGACTCCAATCTTTACGGTTAGGATTCACCGTCTTTTGGAGTATAGATTTCAGCTCCCTGTTTGAGACTTCGGCTTACCCGTTTGTTTGTGGATGGTAGGCGGTTGAGAGTTTATGAGTGACGCCATACTTCTTCAACAAGGCACTCACAGTTTTGTTGTAGAAGTGAGTACCCCTGTCGCTTATTAAAACTCGTGGAACTCCAAACCTTGAAAAATGCGGGTTTTGAGGAAGTCCACCACTACTTTGGCATCATCGGTCTTGGTGGCTTTTGCTTCCACCCATTTTGACACGTAGTCCACCGCCAAGAGAATATATAGATTTCCATGGGAATTAGGAAAGGGTCCCATGAAATCTATTCCCCACACATCAAAGATTTCAACGTAGAGCATAGGAACTTGTGGCATTTCATGTTTTCGAGAGATATTGCCCATGCGTTGGCAATTGTCACAAGATCGAAAAAAGACATGGGCATCTCGAAATAAGCTCGGCCACCAAAAACCGCATTCTAGCACCTTCATTGATGTTCTTTTTCCTCCAAAATGACCACCACATGCATGTGAGTGGCAAAATGAGAGGATGGATGCTATCTCTGTTTCAGGAATGCATCTTCGAATTACTTGATCCTTGCAATGTTTCCATAAGTATGGTTCATCCCACACGTATTGTTTTGCATCGTGTTGGAGTTTCTCTTTTTGAGCTTTAGAGAAGCTTGGCGGGAACCTGTTTAGAACAAGGAAATTAACAATATGTGTATACCAAGGGCGAATTTCCTTCAGAGAGAAAAGGGTCTCATCGGGAAATTCCCCTCGGATATCATCTTTGATGTGATCGTTCCCCTCATCAAGAACTAAACGGCTCAAATGGTCGGCCACCAAGTTCTCCATGCCCTTCTTGTCTTTGATCTCCACGTCGAACTCGCTCAAAAGAAGTATCCACCGTATCAACCTTGGTTTGGCCTCCTTTTTTGTCATTAAGAACCTAAGAGCCGCATGATCGGTGTAAATTATCACCTTGGTTCCAAGTAAGTATGACCTGAATTTTTCAAGTGCATAGACGACGGCCAACATTTCTTTCTCGGTGGTGGCGTAGTTGCGTTGGGCATCATTGAGGGTGGTGGATGCATAGTACTAGCTTTTGGCCCTTCCAACCTTTTGGCCCAAGACGGCCCCTACCGCATAATCGCTGGCGTCACACATGATCTCAAAAGGAAGAGACCAATCGGGTGCTTGAATGATAGGTGCGGTTACTACCTTTTCCTTCAACGTTTTGAAGGCCTTTTTGCATTCCTCGGAAAAGATGAATTCCACCTCCTTTTGCAAAAGTGTGCACAAAGGAGATGCGATCTTTGAGAAATCCTTGATAAATCTTCGATAGAAACCTGCATGTCCAAGGAATGATCGTATCTCCCTAACGGTGGTAGGATAAGGGAGTGATTGGATGACTTCAACTTTGGCCTTGTCTACCTCTATCCCCTTTGATGAAATGACATGGCCTAGAACAATTCCTTCTTCCACCATGAAGTGGCATTTTTCCGAGTTCAGAACAAGGTTTGATTCTAAGCAACTTTTTAATACAAGAGATGGATGCTATAGGCATGAATCAAATGAGTCTCCATGGATTGTAAAATCATCCATGAAAACTTCCATAAATAGCTCAACATATTCAGAGAATATGCTCATCATGCATCTTTGGAATGTGGTCGGGGCATTGCATAGTCCGAATGGCATGCGTCGATATGCAAAGGTGCCAAATGGACAAGTGAAAATGGTCTTCTCCTGATCTTCGGGGGCTATGAGTACTTGAAAGTACCCGGAGTAGCCATCAAGGAAACAATAGAACTCATGCCCGGCAAGTCTCTCAAGCATTTGATCAATGAAGGGTAAAGGAAAGAAATCCTTTCTAGTCACCGCATTGAGTCTACGGTAATCTATGCACACCCTCCACCCATTTTGAACTCGGGTGGGCATAAGTTCACCATGCTTGTTCTCCATCACCGTGACTCCGGTCTTCTTAGGAACAACTTGGGTTGGACTGACCCATTTTGAATCGGAAATGGGGAATATGATCCCCATTTGTAGTAGCTTGATGACCTCCTTTTTTACCACCTCCATCATAGGTGGGTTCCATCTTCTTTGGGGCTGCCTCACCGGCTTTGCTTCGTCCTCCATCAAGATGCGGTGCATGCAAATAGATGGACTAATGCCTTTGATGTCGGCTATAGTCCATCCAATTGCAAGTTTATGCTCTTTGAGCACCGCAACCAGCTTTCCTTCTTGCTCTTGGGTCAATTTGTTGGAGATTATAACCGGCAAGGTTTCTTTTTCTTCCAAGAACACATATTTCAAATGTTTTGGGAGTGGCTTCATTTCAACTTCGGGGGCCTGCAAAATAGAAGGCAAAGGCTATTCTTCGGGGATGGTTAGTGGAAATGCTCTTGACCCCGGTGGCATAAGTGGAAGTTGGAAATGGTTATCCAACTCTACCATCATGGCTTGTATGTTGGGAGTCAAGACAAGTTCTAGAGAGTTTTCCCCGAAATTATTCTCAATCACGCTCAACAATTCATCCTCTCCATTTATTTCAAAAGTGTTTTGTACAAGAGGATCAATAATATCAATGGAAAACAAAGAATGATCTTCATTTGGGTATTTCATGGAGTCATAAATGTTGAATTCAACCTTATCTCCATCAAATTCCATTGTTAAAGATCCCCTAAAAACATCAATTTTTGCTCTATCGGTTTTTAAAAATGGCCTTCCTAAAAGGATAGGAACCGCATTTTTATCATTATCCATTTCCAAAACATAAAAGTCAACGGGAAAGATCAAATTATCAACCATAACTAGTACGTCTTCAACAATACCTTTAGGATAAGCATTTGATCTATCCGCAAGTTGAATGACTACTCCGGTTTCATTTAGAGGGCCAAGCTCAAGTGATTTGAATAAAGAGTAAGGAATGACATTAATTGACGCTCCTAAATCTAGCATGGCCTTTGAAAACGTAGTACCTCCCAACTTACAAGGTATAGTGAACATGCCCGGATCATTGTATTTTTTGGAGAGTTTCTTTTGAAAGACCGCTGAAACACGTTCACTAACTTGGACTTTTTGTTTTCCATTGAGTCTATGTTTCCTTTTTATTGTACATAGATCTTTATTTTTTTTTTCAAATCTAGGAACACCCTTTATCAAATTAAGGAGAGGAATATTTACCTCACATTTGGAGAATGTCTCATAGATGTCCTTATCCTTCTCCACCCTTCTTGTTTCCCTCAGAGCCTCGGGAAAAGGTGCTTCAATTTCAGGGATGACCGGAGTTGGAGTTGAGGTTTGAGTTTTATCCTCCTCCGGTTGAGCTTTTTCTACAAACTCCTCTTCTTCCTCTTCTTCGCCAATGTGGCTCTTTGTTTTTTCTTTGGCAATAATTAACTCCTTGCCACTCCTCAATATGACCGCATGGGCTTGTTGCCTAGGATTCGACTTTGTTTACGATGGAAGCTTTCCCGAATCCTTGGCTTCGAGCCTACTCACCGCACTTGAGATTTGGCTCATTTGGTTCTCAAGGTTTTGTATGCTAGATTTTATCTCATGTTGAAATTGAACCATGTTTTGTTGCATGGTTGAGACATTAGTGGTGAGTGCTCGGATCATGTCCTCGGTGGACATATTTGAGCCTTGGCTTTGGGGTTTAGAGTATGGTTGTTTTTTAGGAAATTGGTTTTGTGGACGGTTATTTTGTTGTGGGTTTCCTTGAAGATTCCCATATCTCAAATTGGGGTGATCTCTCCACCCGGGATTATAAGTATTGCCATAAGAATCATACCTCTTTTGGTTTGGAAATTCCAAAGCGTTGACTTGCTCGGTGTTGTCTTCTTGGAGAGTTGGGCATGAGTCGGTGGGGTGCCCTTTTTGTGTACAAATGCCGCAGACCTTGATTTCTTGGGTCTTGGAATTCAAAATAAAATCCTTAACCAAAGAAGTCAAGCCGGCAACTTGATTTTCCAATGATGATGATGATTCCACTGCCATGACTCTTTTTGTTGATGATAGCCCGTTGTGATGTCTACAATTCTCGGCCAATTCTGAGATAAGATTTATAGCTTGAGAAGGAGTTTTGTTGACGATCCCCCCTCCACATGCGGCGTTAATCATCCACCTATCATCATTGCAAAGACCATCATAAAAGTATAGGATGAGGTCTTGCTCCGAGTAGCCGTGGTATGGACAGCTCGCACAAAGTTTCTTGAATCGTTCCCAATATTCGTAGACCGATTCATCATCTTTTTGCTCCACATTGCTGATTTGCTTTTTGAGAGATGAGGAGACAGAGGCAGGATAGTACCTTTCAAGGAAAGCTTTCTTCATGGCCGCCCATGTACCTATACTTCCCGAGGGAAGATAGAATAACCAATCTTTGGCGGTATCTTTGAGGGAGAATGGAAAGGCCCTCAATTTTATTTGTTCCGCGGTGACTCCATTGGGGCACATGCTTGTGCAAACATGATAGTGTGAATTTCCTATCATGTATGTTTGTATTTTTAACTAGTTTTTATTAGTTCTAGTTGTGGAAATTACACATTTTTTGTGTAATACTTTATTTTCATAATTATTTGTAATTTGTTTAGATTAGGACTATTCTGAGCTAAACAGGTCAAAACTCATCCAAGGGATCAAGATGGGACCTCAAAAGATCAAGGAAAGTGCAAAGAGACATGAAAGATTTCGATTTGGAAAAAATACTCGTATACCCGATCGGGTATAGGCAATACCCGATCGGGTATTTGCTTGATTCGGTTGTCCAAATCAAATCCGGGAACAAAGGATCGTGGGAGAAAATTTTCGTAAAGATTTGTCACATACCCGATTGGGTAAACCGACATACCCGACCGGGTATGTCCAGAAATGTGGCTTTCCGGGAAATTTCCTAAGATACCCGATCGGGTATCCTATATACCCGGTCGGGTATCAGCCCCTGCAGCTCCCAAAAGCCTATAAATACACATCTTTTCTTCACAATAAAATATCCAATTCCTTTGTACATCTAAGCTCAGTATAGAATAGCTCTTTCTTTATATTTTTCATCATGTTTAGTCTCCAAATGAGGAGCTAAACTCTTCCATCTTGGTTTTGCTACTTTGAAGCTTAATGAATTTGTAAGTTGTGAGTTATTTTCTTTAATCTTCTTCCTTGAATATTAATTCTTTCTTTCAAAATACTATCTCTATATCAAAGTTGGGGAGTGTTACTAAGATGACAATTAGTTAACATCTTGACATTGGTTATAGTAATAGCTATTTCTTCCTCTATGATAATATTGGAGAGTGTTACTAAGATGACAATTAGTTAACATCTTGATACTAATCATAGTAGGATTCATATATTTTAATATTCTTCCTTGAGTATTAATTAATTCCTAGCCATATTTCATATTAATATCTTAAACATTACTTAAAGTATCAACTAGTATTGTTTTTCATATTAATTATTACTAGAATCAATCGGTTAATACGCTTGTTATTAATCCGGTTCTTTCAACGGTAGTAAACTTGGAATATTAATGCATGCATCTCATGGTTAATATGCCAATAGGAATTAATTATATTGATTAAACCAATAAACCGCTTGTGTTGAGGTTATCAATCTCAATCGTTTTCATCTTAAGTTTATTGCTACTATCAAGTTAATATACGGCGCTTGTTCTATATTGACTCGATAGTAAGTTTTATTAATGAACGCATCTCGTTATTAATAACTACCCTCGATGAACTGGATATACTCCTCGATTGAGTATTCGAGAGGAAGATAGTTAAAGATATAACCGGGATCGACGAACATTTCATTAAGTGGATAAAAGCAAAACCAAATCTTCATCTCATTGAATTAAACTCATATAGGTCGTTTATCTTAGTGTTATTAAACCAAACAAATCTAAACCCCCCTTTGTTACAACTTTTATAAAAGAAAAGTATTCCTTTCCTTGTGGATACGAACCTTACTACACTATACTACGTATTAGTGTCGTATTGATTAATTATTTTGAGTGCACCTAACGACGAGTGCACGTCAAATTTGGCGCCGTTGCCGGGGAAAGGCAATTACTTTTCTTTTTATTTTATCTCATAAAAAATCAAAAAGCGGAAAAAAAACAAAAAAAAACTTGCTCTTCTATTTTCTGAGCTTACATGAGTTATGAGTATATGGATACCAACACTTCATCCTTAGAGAGTCAAATTTCCTTCTTGACTTCTCTAATAAAGGAATCCATCTTTAACTCAAAAGCTCAAGATGCCAAGACTTGCAACATTTGCATGTCTCATAGACATCTTACGGATTTCTGCCCAAAGGTCCAAGAAGAATACATTGCACAAATTGATGATGTACCTCACATGAGGTATGATCCATTCTCCAACTCTAATATGTCCACGGAGGACATGGTTCGGGCTCTTACTAACAGCGTAACCACCATGCAACAAAACATGGTGCAATTCCAAAATGAGACCAAGACTAGCATTTTGAGCTTGGAATCTCAAGTGAGTCAAATAGCCGGAGTCGTGAGTAGGCTTGAAGCAAGGGATCCGGGAAAACTTTCCTCTCAAATAGAATGTGATCCTAGACAGCAAACTTTTGCAATCACATTGAAAAATGAAGAGGAAATGCAAAAAGAGATCCAGGATCCAGAAGAAGTAGAGGAAGAAAAGGACACATAGCTCCAACTGGTCAAAGAAGAGGATAATCTGAGCTTCAAGGTTAAATATCTATCCTTGTCATCTTTTGAGGTACCCCCATCAATTCTAAAAATTTTGAGGGAAACTCATAAACTTGAAATGGACAATGACATTTCTAAAATATTCTTCAAAATTGAGGAGTCGAAAAACTTTTTATTGACCATACTAAACGATAATTTCTTCCCATTCCTCCCACCACACGAATCAATGAAAATCTGGATATTTGATCCTGGAAAGATTTCCAAAGTGGAGAGTCGAGAAATTAAGCACTCCTATGGAAGTCCTAGGAGTGAAAGTGTGAAGAAAATAAACTATCATGATCCAAGTTTGAATGATTGAAAACAATGATAGCGTCGTGCCGCGACGTTAAATAAGGCGCTTCTTGGGAGGCAACCCATGCAAGGCACGTTTAATTGTTTTGTTTTATTTTTACACATTTCAAAAAAAAAAAGAGTTTTGTGCACCACGGCTTAATACCTGATCGGGCACATGTATATATCCGGTCGTGTATAAGAGAAATTAAATTTCAAAAACTACGGCGAGAAGAAGTCGATCGGGTATGAAAATCCCAGAAATCGAAGAAAAGGAAGATACTCGATCGGGTATAGCCACTTACCCGACCGGGTATGCTTAAAACATGCAATTTCAGAGCTCACTGCCTCGTGTAGTGATCGGGTATGAAAATCCCAAAAATCAAAGAAAAGGGAGATACCCGATCGGGTATAACCACTTACTCGACCGGGTATGCTTAAAACGTGCAAGTCTGCAGCTCACTGCCTCGCATACCCGATCGATTATACACACTTACCCGGTCGGGTAAGCGGGATTACTCAGCATTTTAATTCAAAAAGTCCCTTCTTCTTCCCAAATTCCTTCCCCAAATCCGACCAAACCCTCCCCAAACCTCCATAGCCGGTTCTTCTACCTTAAATTACTCCCTGAATTCTCCACCAAATCCCTCCAAACCACCACCAAAATCTTCCCCACATCCCCCTCTACACACCCATACCCATCAACACCACATTCTCTCCCAATTTCGTAGAGTCCGAAAAACCCAACTCCACCACATAAAAGTCCGAAATTTGGAGCCTAAAATCCAAGTTTTCTAGCAAAAATGGTACCAAAGAGGACAAGAGGAGAAAGTTCTTCTTCAAGAACACCGGTTCCCGGCTTTGAAAACATCATCATCACCTCATCGGCTCACCGGGAAAAAGTCTTGGCCCAAACTAAAAGAGAGGTACATCATTCCCGTTTTTTTGTGTATGAATACTTTGGATGAGCTAGAAATTCTTGCTATGATGCTTCAATTAGGTGAATTGTTGGGAATGAGCAAAATTTTTGGGTTGAAATATAACCCAAATGATGAACTTGTGTATGAATTCTTGGGTTCCGTTGAGAGAATCAAATATGATAATGATGATAGGGAGGATAAACTCACGTTTCGTTTATTCAATAAATCACATTCCATAACAAAACGTGAGTTTGCGGAGCACTTTGGCTTGCCCGTGCCACCACAAAACGCCCAAGAGCCCGACACCGGGTATGGCTTTGAATTGTGGAAAAAAATGACGGGGGAAATGAACTTTAGCTCCAAAAATCTTGTCATAACCCATGTCCAACACCCAGTGCTACGCATTTTCTTGAAATACTTGGTTAGCTTTGTGTTTGGACGCCCCAACAATCACCAAGCACGAATAGGTGATATATGTATTCTAGCCAATGCAGTGTTTGACATACCTCCCTTCCACTATAACATTGTGAACCGTATGTGGGAACATCTGTATAAAGAATGCACCGCCCAAGGAAAAAATTGGATAGGGGGCGTTATTCTCCACATAGCTACAAAATTCGGTTACGTAGACAATGCACCAATAGCCGAATTCTGTCTTTTTGACATAACACATCTGGGCAATTCAAAGGACATCAAGTTCTCTCATCGTGATTACAAGGGGAAAATCTTTTACAAATGGTCCATCTTCCCGAAACCCACTCGTTACTTCACGATCCCCTCCGAGGGGCTACCCACTATTCCATTCCGATTAGAACCACCTCTTGTGCACCACTATTGCCTCCCTCCAGCCATCCCACCATATTTCCAAAACCAAGAAGATGAACCCGCACAAGAACAAGCCCCTCCAATTCTTGAAGATATTCCAGCTCCACCTCACGACCAACCCCACTACGATCCGTATCAAACACAAGTGCTTGAGAACCAACGTGCTCTATTGGAAGGACTCCGGGATTTGAGCTTCCGGGTCAACCGCATGGACGAGGACAACCGACGGGCAATAGCCCCCATCTATGCTTACCATCATCAGCAGGGGCACTTCTCCTCTATGCGTCCCCCAGTGCAGCACCCGTCATGGTATGACCCCTCTCAGTGGGGTAATTTTGGGGAGGACAGCGGTTACAGTGGAGGAGACTATGGTGGCGGTCAGCCTGGCTTTGACGGAGACGAGCACTAGGGACAGTGCTTCAAGCTAAGTGAGGGGGAATCACTCATTGGTACGTACTCAATTGTTTCAACCTTGTAACTTGCATTATCTTTTTTTAAAAAAAAAAGAAAAAAAAAGCAAATAAAAAAAGAAAAAAAAAGGGAAATGCTAGTTAGGTTGAAAACCCAAAAAACGGGCAATCTAAGCAAAAAGGGCTTATAAAAAAAATGTTAATGAGTGAGTTAGAAAGGAACAAAACAAAACGAGAGGCTAAGATGAAAACCTGAAAAGGCTCCTAGACAAAATGAGAGATATTAGAGGTTCATTTCTTTTTTTTACAGGGCAATGGTGGTCTCAAGAAGCGGAATGAAGGAGTTGAAAACAAGAGAAGAGCATAGAAGGCCATAAAAACCCAAGAAAATATTAACCTTTGAGCTCAAAACTCAATTTAAATCTAATGTACAAACCTTGGTGGTCTTTTGCTCTTTCTTGTTAAATTGTTGAACTATTGAAGACATGAAAAACTTGTAAACATTTGGCTTTACTCGAGGACGAGTAAAGAAACTAAGTGTGGGGGAGTTTGATAGTGTGAATTTCCTATCATGTATGTTTGTATTTTTAACTAGTTTTTATTAGTTCTAGTTGTGGAAATTACACATTTTTGTGTAATACTTTATTTTCATAATTATTTGTAATTTGTTTAGATTAGGATTATTCTGAGCTAAACAGGTCAAAACTCATCCAAGGGATCAAGATGGGACCTCAAAAGATCAAGGAAAGTGCAAAGAGACATGAAAGATTTCGATTTGGAAAAAATACTCGTATACCCGATCGGGTATAGGCAATACCCGATCGGGTATTTGCTTGATTCGGTTGTCCAAATCAAATCCGGGAACAAAGGATCGTGGGAGCAAATTTTCGTAAAGATTTGTCACATACCCGATCGGGTAAACCGACATACCCGACCGGGTATGTCCAGAAATGTGGCTTTCCGGGAAATTTCCTAAGATACCCGATCGGGTATCCTATATACCCGGTCGGGTATCAGCCCCTGCAGCTCCCAAAAGCCTATAAATACACCCCTTTCCTTCACAATAAAATATCCAATTCCTTTGTACATCTAAGCTCAGTATAGAATAGCTCTTTCTTTATATTTTTCATCATGTTTAGTCTCCAAATGAGGAGCTAAACTCTTCCATCTTGGTTTTGCTACTTTGAAGCTTAATGAATTTGTAAGTTGTGAGTTATTTTCTTTAATCTTCTTCCTTGAATATTAATTCTTTCTTTCAAAATACTATCTCTATATCAAAGTTGGGGAGTGTTACTAAGATGACAATTAGTTAACATCTTGACATTGGTTATAGTAATAGCTATTTCTTCCTCTATGATAATATTGGGGAGTGTTACTAAGATGACAATTAGTTAACATCTTGATACTAATCATAGTAGGATTCATATATTTTAATATTCTTCCTTGAGTATTAATTAATTCCTATTCATATTTCATATTAATATCTTAAACATTACTTAAAGTATCAACTAGTATTGTTTCTCATATTAATTATTACTAGAATCAATCGGTTAATACGCTTGTTATTAATCCCGTTCTTTCAACGGTAGTAAACTTGGAATATTAATGCATGTATCTCATGGTTAATATGCCAAGAGGAATTAATTATATTGATTAAACCAATAAACCGCTTGTGTTGAGGTTATCAATCTCAATCGTTTTCATCTTAAGTTTATTGCTACTATCAAGTTAATATACAGCGCTTGTTCTATATTGACTCGATAGTAAGTTTTATTAATGAACGCATCTCGTTATTAATAACTACCCTCGATGAACTGGATATACTCCTCGATTGAGTATTCGAGAGGAAGATAGTTAAAGATATAACCGGGATCGACGAACATTTCATTAAGTGGATAAAAGCAAAACCAAATCTTCATCTCATTGAATTAAACTCATATAGGTCGTTTATCTTAGTGTTATTAAACCAAACAAATCTAAACCCCCCTTTGTTACAACTTTTATAAAAGAAAAGTATTCCTTTCCCTGTGGATACGAACCTTACTACACTATACTACGTATTAGTGTCGTATTGATTAATTATTTTGAGTGCACCTAACGACGAGTGCACGTCAAAACAACATGGAACTCCGAGAGATGTTTATTTGGGTCCTCCCCTCTTAAGCCATGGAAAGATGGAAGTAGATGTATGAGTCCAGATTTCAACTCAAATGTAGCACCCTCATCAAGAGTTGGGAAAGTGATACATAAGGGTTGTTGATTCAAGTTTGGAGCTGTGAGCTCCCTCAAAGTTCTTGTTTCGAGAGCCATAGTTATTGGCTCTTCGGTCTCGCTAGAATGAGAACTAGCACTGGATGTATCTCCGGTAGATAATTCCTCCAAGTCGGTATTAGAAAATTTATTTTTCAACCGCTCGAAAGTTTGCTCTATTTCCGGGTTTGTTTGATAGGTGATTTCGTTTATGGAACGATGTTTAACCATATACTTCACCAAGCTCATAAATAGAAGAAATAAGAACTCTTTATATTTTTATTTAATATTTTTTTATGTTTTCTTGAAATACAATAAAAAAAAATATAATTACCTTTCCCCGGCAACGGCGCCAAATTTGACGTGCACTTTGTCGTGAGGTGCACTCAAAATAAATACAATACAACAAATATACGTAGTATATTGAAGTAAGGTTCGTATCCATAGGGAAATGAATACTTTTCTTTTATATAAATAGTAACAAGGGGTTTTTTAAGTTTGATTTGATTCAATTTAATTGACACTAAGATGAACGACTTATATGAGTTTAATTAATAGAGATGAGGACTTTGTTTTGCTTTTATCCACTTAATGAAATGTTCGTCGATCCCGGTTATATCTTTAACTATCTTCCTCTCGAATACTCAATCGAGGAGTATATCCAGTTCATCGAGGGTAGTTATTAATAACAAGATGCATTCATTAATAAAACCTACTACCGAGTCAATATAGAACACGCGCCGTATATTAACCCGATAGTAGCAATAAACTTAAGATTAAAACGATTGAGATTGATAACCTCAACACAAGCGGTTTATTGGTTTAATCAATATAATTAATTCCCCTTAGATTATTAACCATGAGACGCATGCATTAATAATCCAAGTTTTACTACCGTTGAAGGAACCGAATTAATAACAAGCGTATTAATCGATGGATTCTAGTAATAATTAATATATGAAACAAAACTAGTTGATCCTTTAAGTAATGCTCAAAATATTAATATGGAATATGAATAGGAAATAATTAATATTCAAGTAAGAAGATTAAAGAAAATAACTCACAATTTACAAATTCATTAAGCTTCAAAGTAGCAAAACCAAGATGGAAGAGTTTAGCTCTTCATTTGGAGACTAAACATGAAGAAAATATAAAGAAAGAGTTTGTCTAAACTGAGCTAAGAAGTATATGTGAATTGGTGAGTTTAATGAGGGGGGAATGAGGTGTATTTATTGGCTTTTTAGGCTTGAAGGGTCGTGTACCCGATCGGGCTGTAAGGGCACTCGATCGGGTACTCGGTTGCTTCGCGGAAGTATAAAAAACTGGGTCATACCCGATCGGGTATGTCACCCACCCGATCGGGTATGAACACTCGATCGTGCCAAAATCTCCCTTGCATGTTGCCTTGTTCCCGGTTGATCCGATTCGATTTTTTCTGCGACTTACCCGATCGGGTATAGGTCATACCCGACCGGGTACAACACCAAAAATCAGAATCTTGAGATTTTTGCACCTTCCTTCCATTTGTGATGTTCACCAATGGTCACTAGAGTGATCTTGGACCTGTTTGAGCTCAATATAAACCTAATCTAAACAAATTACACACATTTTTACAAATTAAACTATTACACCAAAAGTGTGTAATTTCCAAGGTAACAATCAATCTAAACTAATTAAAAACATAAACGTAAACATGGAAATTACATGAATGTCAAGCGTGCTACACTATCAGCAATTGCTTTTAGTGTAGCGGTAAGCGCAATGATCCACGAGTGGTATCAGAGTCAAGGTCACGGGTTCGACCCTCGGCGACAGCATGCTGCGCAGCTAAAGGCTGGCAGGTGCTGGGGGGAGATTGTTGGGCCGTGGGCCCGCGGGTATGCGGTGATAGCAATCTGCCAGCCTGCCAGTGTAATGGGGTAAAGAAACGTGGCGCTTCGCTTGTGCTATAAAGGGAAAGGAGCGTGCTACACTATCAGCAATTGATTTTAGTGTAGCGGTAAGCGCAACGATCCACATAAATTATTGCCAAGACGAGCGAGCTTACGGCCCCTTAATCGCTACTAACCACTTAGTGAACGATTAAGTGTGTGTGAAGGTGTCTTAGAATAAACTAGATCTCTCTTAATTTATTTTACAAACAGTTGTAATTCTAGCCGTGGTTCCAGGTTACAAAAGATATCAGTTAAATTATTCAAACACAAATTAAACGGCCTTCATGCAATTAATCCATTAAGAAACTAGCCATATATCGTGATTAACCCCTTCATCAATCCCAAATCCCTAATTAAAACTACTTCTCACTCATAATTGAAGAATCAATAGAATTGGGAAGAATATAAATAATTGTCATTAATTAAAAGGCTAAAGGGTCAAATAGGTCCCTATACTCATATCAATAGCTCAATTGGGTACCCGAACTAAAAAAAGGTCCAATCCAATCCTCCAACTCTTCAAAAGCGTTCAATTTTTTCGTTTTTTCAAAGGCTAAAGGGTCAAATAGGTCCCTGTACTCATATCAATAGCTCAATTGAGTACCGGGAGTTTACCGGCTAAACGAAAAAATTGAACGATTTTGAAGAGTTGGAGGATTGGATTGGACCTTTTTTTAGTTCGGGTACCCAATTGAGCTATTGATATGAGTACAGGGACCTATTTGACCCTTTAGCCTAATTAAAAAGATGAAACTTACAAATAATCCCAGCGTCTTGAGCAAAATAGCGGAAAAACTAGTCTAAACTCGTGTCTAGGCCTCTCTCCAAGTTTCGTAACCCTTAAATGGGAGTGGAAAGGCCTTATTTAAAGAAATAGAGTCAAAATTCGATTGGGATTAGGGTTTCGGCGTGAGGCACGGTGCCAGGCACGACCGTGCCTGCGCCCGTGCATCCGGAGCATCTTCACTTTTCGCGTCCAGGCTTGGCGTGCGTGCCTTGCCAAGCACAACCGTGCCTGGCGTCCATCAATTCTTCTTGATTTCTTTCTCAAGCGCCGGTGCTAGATCTAATTACCTGATTTTTGACTCAAAACAACAACAAACTCGAACTAACGCCTGTACACATAACTTGAGATAAACTTGATATTTGTGACACCTAAGAGTTAGGAAAAACATAAAAAACTGATCCCAACAAGCATCGAATGCGTGTTGTAATACGGACTTATCAGATTCCACTACACTTAAGATTTTGCTTGTTCTCAAGCAAACTGAACAACGAGACTTACGATAATCACCACGTGAAATTAAAACAATTAGCACGCACAAGTAGTTAAACGGATATTCACATAACAGACAGAGTAAATCAAGAAAACTCATCCATAGACTACATCTTTGTACTCTAGCTAACTTCAATGACAAAACTTCACAACATCCTTGAAGTAATGGCAGCGAACACTAATGAACTAGCTACTGATTAGAAGGACTTGTGAAAACGGTGGTGAAAAGTGGATGGTCAAGAATAAAAGTCCCTTGCTTTGAGAGTTTTGGAATAATTTGACAAAAACTTAACGCGTTCAGGAATTTCAGGGCTATTTTGAGGCTCAGGGAGTTCAGTAGAACACAAACTAGGAACTATCATTTAAACTTATGCAAAGAGTAGACATGATGCACAACTAAGCTAAACCGCCGCGACACATTTTTGCTTTGAAGTATACTTGAAGTACGCAAAGGACTAAAACTAATTTTTGCAATAGCCTCCAAGTTCAATTAATTAAGTTCTGTTTTCCTTGTCATGTTGGCACGAGAACGCCATTTCTTTCAAAAGATCCCCAAGTCTCATCTTATTGTGCAGAACACTTACGCTTTTTGACCGGTCTCCCATTCTCTTTTTCGCAAGGTAAGAGGTCTAGCTATATTATTTTTTTTTTTCAATTTTCAGATTTTCACTAGACATTACCCCATTCTAATCTCGGCCTCACCAAGGAAAATTAGCAATTAAAGTTCAATTAATCAAGGTGAATCCCTGCCTACAATGCAATCCTCGAAAATATCAAATTCCTAAAAAGTGTTTGCTCTTACCCCATTTGGGGCATAGGAACAGTGCCAAAGGTGGCTCCTAAAAAAATTCCCTAAACTTAGAAAATTAATTCCCTAGTTCCCTAAACACCAAGACTATGTCAGAATTATTCACGGGTAAGGAAACAGGCCATTTGGCTATGAAGCTCAATTAATTGGGTAAAGAACAAAATGGTCAAACTCAAAATGGCTTCTCCTAAAGGACTCATTTAGGTGGAGTGGATAATTTAAACAATTCAGTGGGTACCTAATGTCTTCATCCTTACAACCACTAGCTCATCGTGCAACAATTTAAGCCTAAACACATTAAGGATGTCCTAAAAACATTGTCAACTCACTAGCCAGTTCACAAAGACACAGTTTAAAGAAAAATTTTCAAAAAAAATGACATGACTTCCCTATGAATATTCCACTAACACCTGTGCATTTAACTCTAGTAATCCCATGTGACAACTACTGCCCGAATGCCCAATTCACTCCCCCACACTTAAACTTTGGCATCACTCTTGATGACTAAAAATGCACTATGCACCGGGGGTAAAGAGGAAAGGGTCATGCGTGCTCAATCTCAACTCAAGTCAACATTACAAATAGGCGATTATAAGAGTCGTAGAAACTTCCCTAAGGCGTTGGTCGGTGCGGAAATAAATTGAGTCAAGTGATCCTCGACATATCATCCCCAGTGCAAGACTTTGAGCTCCAAAAACAAAGCACAACACACAAAAAAACACAGAAAACACCCCGGTTTTTATTTGGAGGGGGGGTCTGAAAGCAAACAAACACAGCAAAAAAAATGCAGAAAAATGCTTGGATTGCCTCCAAAGAAGCGCTATTTTTAACATCATTTTCCCAACGCAACTAACCCACGGGATCCTCAGTTGAACACACCTCCACTCAGAAAAGTTGTCCTCCACATATCAAACCTCTTGTCAACAAACGCCCTCCGATGGCGCAAAACTTGGAATTAATGAAATCACATATTTAATGGAGGATCACAACTACAACAAAAGGGTAGTTCCAATCATTTAACAGGCCCTTTATCAAAGATTGGATCGAAAGCGGTCTCATTGAGAGGTGGAGGTTTCCCTCCCTCCTCTCCGGGTGGTTCCAGGACATCTAACACATAACACTCATCTACAACTTGAGAGGACTATTTTGCCAGTTTGGTCATGCAAAAAGTGACTCTCTCCTCCCCAACTCTCAAAATCAATTTCCCTTCCTCAACATCTATAAAGGCCCGAGCAGTGGCCAGAAAAGGCCTTCCAAGAATTAAGGGCACATCAAGATCTTGGGGCATATCTAAGACAACAAAATCGACAGGAATTACAAACTTGTCCACTTTAACCAACACGTCTTCAGCAATCCCCTGAGGATATTTGACCGATCGGTCAACCAATTGTATGCACATACGTGTTGATTTAAGTGCACCGAGTGCAAGCTTCTCAAACAAGGAATAAGGCATCAAATTGATGCTTGCATCCAAATCATCTAAAGCATTATCAAAAATCTTACTTCCTATGGAGCAAGGGATGGTGAACTTACCTGGGACCTTGAGCTATTTGGGCATCTCTTTCAACACTACCACTGAACACTCCTCATTAAGCACCACCGATTTCGGTTCTCCCCACTTTCTTTTGTTAGAGAGGAGTTCTTTCATAAATTTGGCATACTTTGGCATTTATTGCAACACATCCATGAATGGCAAATTAATTTGAACCTGCCTGAAGAGATTCAGAAACTTGTTGAAGTCCTCGGTATCATTCTTTCCCTTCAATTGCTGCGGGAATGGGATGGGTGGGCAGTGAGTTTTGACTTGAGCGGGCTGAATTGGGACTGCCTCCACCTCTTTCTTCTTCTCTTCTTCCTTCTCTTTTTCCTGAACAACTTCAGCAGGTATAACTTCCGCAAGCGTCTTCTCTATAGCAGTCTAATTAACCCTTAAGACCGACATCGTCCCCGGCAACAGCGCCAAAAACTGATGTGAGTTTTCTCGCACTTAAAATAGATCGTAATATAGTGGTATAAGTACGAGTATCGTCTCCACAGGGACGGACAAAAGGGAATCAAGGATTAATTAAATTCAGCGATTAAAAATAAATAAAATAAATGCATCGTACGAGATTGGTTGGTTGAATTGAAATTAAACTAAAGCAAATGAGTGATTAAAATAAAAGGTTGTTTTCTCTCTAATTAACGACGAAGGAAACATGGATTGATTCCGGGGTAATCAGATTTCTGGCTGATCAGGCTTAATCACATGAAATTAATTTAATTGGGTCTAGCTAATCATTACTAAATTCTTACCGCTCTCGCGGCGTAGAGTACAATAATTTAGGGGACCAGGCTGATCTCTCATGCGATAGAATCCTAAATTATTGCCAAGACGAGCGAGCTTACGGCCCCTTAATCGCTGCTTATCTCTTAGCGAACGATTAAGTGTGTGTGAAGGTGTCTTAGAATAAACTAGACCTCTCTTAATTTATTCTACAAACAATTGTAATTCTAGCCGCGGTTCCAGGTTACAAAAGATATCAGTTAAATTATCCAAACACAAATTAAACGGCATTCATGCAGTTAATTCATCAAGAAACTAGCCATACATCATGATTAACCCCTTCATCAATCCCAAATCCCTAATTAAAACTACTCCCGACGCATAATTGAAGAATCAATAGAATTGGGAAGAATAGAAATAATTGTCATTAATTAAAAAGATGAAACTTACAAATAATCCCAGGGTCTTGAGAAAAATAGCGGAAAAACTAGTCTAAACTCGTGCCTAGGCCTCTCTCAAAGTTTCGTAACCCTTAAGTGGGAGTGGAGAGGCCTTATTTAAAGAAAAAGAGTCAAAATTCAATTGGGATTAGGGTTTCGGCGTCAAGCACGGCGCCAGGCACGCCCGTGCCCGCGCCCGTGCATTCGGAGCATCTTCACTTTTTGCGTCCAGGCATGGCGTGTGTGCCTTGCCAAGCACGACCGTGCCTAGCTTCCAGGGAATGGGTTCCTCGATATACTACAGGCATGACGTGCGTAATCTCCTATGCACGATCGTGTCTGACCTCCAGAGTGTTGGGCGTGTTTCGGAAAAACGAAGAAATATTAATTAATAAAAATAATTAATTAGTTAATAAAATAGCTAAAGAAAACCAGAAATAAGATGGAGCAGATTTTAGCCAGAGCTCGTGCTACGCACGATGTCCTTAAAACGTATTCGTCGCCTCCCACGGTGCTAGGAGCGTTGCAACGACCGTTTCCCGGGATACGGTGGCTAACGAACTAACGTTTGAGCACACAAACGAGAGTTCCGGCGAACTGGAACACAGTATGAACACTTAGGAATTTTTCAGAGTAGCTGGAAGTGTTTTAGAGCTCAAAAATACGTGAGGAATGTATTGTGAGTTGTGTCTTGTTGCAAAGAACCTGTCAGCTATTTATAGGAGGATTTGTTGTGTGTTAAATAGGGTGTTAATGGACCTGAATGTTGGACATTGAATCGTCCATAAACTGTCCATTTAACGCTGCATCAAAAGACAAAAACGTTGGGCATTTAATGGTCGTAACGGATCGAAGCAGTTCTGGTGCGCGACCAGAATACCTACATCAGAGGTGGAGCACCTCTGGTACGAAGCCAACAGAATACCCCTACCAGAGTTGGAGCACCTCTGGTACAAAGCCACCAGAGTTCGAGCAGTTCTGTCCGAGCACCTCTGGTCCTGGGAAAAATAAAATGTTACGGGAAGAAACAAAAATTAAACCGTATCCTGGGAAAAAAGAGGCTTCCCTTTATAAGGGGGTGAAAATCCCTTGAGTTTTCCGGTGTGGTATAAAACACACTAGAAACCCATCATTTTCCCAATTTTTCCATTTCAACGAGTGAACTTCAAGAATCAATTTCTCATTCACCCGTTATCCGTTTTGAGCTTACCATATATCAAATTGTAGCCCTTAACAAGGACAATCCGAAACCACTTTGACCCGACCCAAATCGGAAGTGGACCCCACTCAAATAATTGCCCCAAATGACCATTTAATGCAATTTTTAACACATTTTTCCAACACAACGGACAAGTGCTTCGCTACACTATAGGCACGGCGTGCCTATCTCCCCAGGCACGACCGTGCCTGGCCTTTTTCGTCGCCTGGTCATCTTCTAGTGCGTGCCTGGCTGCTGGGCACGGCCGTGCGTGACTGCGTGGCCTTTTCTTCATCAATTCTCTTTGTTTCTTCTTCCATATGCTCCCGAGTGCTCCCGAATCGATCTGAAAGGTCTTCTCTTCATCAATTCTTCACCGTGAACTTCCCGGAGACCTCCAAAACTCTAGAACTCTCTTGAATGCTCATCAACTCTTCTTGATTCTTTCTCAAGCGCCGGTGTCAGATTGAATTACCTGATTTTCTACTCCAAACAACAATAAACCTGAACCAACGCCCGGTACACATAACTTGAGCTAAAATTGATATTTGTGACACCTAAGAGTTAGGAAAAACGTTAAAAACCGATCCCAACATGCATCGAATGTGTGTTGTAATATGGGCTTATCAGGAACCACTTTGAAACTATTTTATACTATAAGCCAAATTCCAATAAAAAATTTCAAACCTATGTGATGGGCTGGTAGAAAGATTTGAAGGGAAACATTGCAGATTTCAACTATGTCGTTCCCAATATGGTTGTTTGGAATCTTTGGAAGACACAAAATTAATTTCTTTATGATAATAAAACGGCCTACCTTCCTGAGGCGATAAATGATATCTAAACTTTCATTTTTACCATTTCCAATGTTCGACCTTTTGTCTCTCAGAATGCTCAAAACCCTTTCAACCTTCTTACTATTCCACCCAAAACACCCAAGAGAATCCCCATGCCAATAGGGGTGAGCATTCGGTCGGTCGGTCAAATAACCGACCGATAACCGAACCGACCAATATTTTTTACTCAAATAACCGTCCGAAAACCGACCGACAACATTACAAAAACCGACCAAAAAATGTCATTCGGTTTCGGTTGGTAACCGAATAACCGACCATAATCAGTCGGGGGTATTTTTTGATGAAATTTTAATGTCATGTTCTTCATCAAGTATAGTTCATCCATACCAAATTTGAGCAAACAATTCCATCGGGAAGCTCGTCAAATGATTTTTGGAAGTTAACTGCGTTTTATATGTATTTTTAGCGCAGTTAATTTCCAAAAATCATTTGACGACCTTCCCGATAAAATATTTATCTGAATGTTTTTGTGGATAAACTATACTTAATGAAGAACATGCCATAAAAATTTCATCAAAAAACTCCACCGGAAAGATCCCCAAAATCCGTCGGCCGGACGGCGGTTCCTGTCCGGAATTCCGGACAGGAAGACTACTCTACTATGGAGTATATATACTTATATAATTTGGACGGTTATCGGTGACCAACCGATAACCGATAAGTATAACCGATTAAAAACCGAAAAACCGAAAACCGATTCTTTTTATTTTATTATAACCGAAAACCGACTGAAAACCGATTTTTTCGGTCGGTTCGGTCATCGGGTTTCGGTCAGGTCGGTTAAATCGGTTATTTGCTCACCGCTACATGCTAACACTACCATTTGGAATAAACCTCCTCCTTCCTACCAAAAGATCAACTCTGCCACGCGCCATATTAAACCAACCCTTGCAAGAACTGAGGCACTTTTTCGAGATAGATGAGTTTGGCACTTACAAAGGTCATATATATGACATACATGAGCAGCACTAGTGACAATAGCATTGCTGCCTATCATGTCATCTATCAAACCATTATCAACATTAAGAGTAGAAATAAAAATATTATTCTTGAGATTTATAATAGCGATAAATATGCGATGTATATATATGAAGGCATTTAGCGCATATCACTTCAGCACTGACAATATTGGCTCCGTATTCAGAAAATTAAAAGAACTCTTATGGACATTAATTGGACAATTGTACTCATTCACCCAAAGATCAATACAGCTGCGGAGTACTTAGCTTACAAGAGTATTTCCATAGCTACAAATAATTGTCATTATAATCATTTTGTAGGAATCATAAAGTTTGATGCGATTAGTTATTCTTATGTAATTTGATTTGAGTAGACTTTTGTCTAGTCCTCCTACTCTGTGTACTTTTCTTATTCAATAAATAGGTAGGGTGTTCCCTGGTCCCTACCCCAAAGAGTCTTCTGATTTTTTGGACAAAAACCGGGTTAAAAAATGACAATTATTTTTTACTTGATCAAGTTTACAAATTGATCTCTTATATAAATGGATGAGATACTAAATTATCCTAGAAAAGATGTTGTTATAATCATAAATATGAATACAAACATATTTCTACTACAGTTATAGTATGTGTTTAAATATTTCTACTAAACTCTATGAAAAATATTGAATATTAAATTAAATTTATAGTAGAAATAATATTAAGATCAAATATAATATTATTAGTGCTTATATATATATTTGTTTCATTATATTTAAAATTTTAAAAAATATTAATGCAAAATTTAACATTGTTAGCTCCCGGTTTATTTTTGTGAAACAGTTAACTAGTTGGGATTAATATTATGAACTTTTCTAGTTGAGATTATTTCTTTAAAAATGATAAAGGTAGAGATTATTCGTGTCAATGTTGCCAAAAAATTAAATGGAAAAGTTAATTAACACGTACTGTTAACTCCCGTTTTATTTCAGTGGAAGAGCTAATTAGGATTATTATTGTTTACTTTTTCAGTAGGATTTTTTTTAAATGTTTAAAAGTAAGAATTATTGATGTTAGTTTGACCTAATAATAATAAAAATACCTCTGTCACAAATTGATTTATAAAGTCAACATTTATTTGTCAATCAATGTTAAAGTTAAATCATCTCTATTGGTAATTAATTCAATTTTAATAATTAAAATATACATATTTAGAAACTGCAATAAAATCTCTATAAAGTTGTAAAATCCAAATCAGGTGATTATTAAAAATTAATATCCCAATTAAATGATTAAAATGAAACTCTATGTCTCAAAAAACTTGATTTTGTAAATCAATTTGGGATGAAGATAATAATGAAGATATCAAAGACCAAGGCACACCGTTTTATTCATCATATTGAGGTGCATAGCTAAACGTGCTATGCACACATTATTATTACACACAGGCAAGTACACATATATTATAAACTGGATTAAGAGGATACAATTCAAGCTAGAATTGTATCTTCTTACCAAATGCAACTGCCGATGATCAGCAGTTGCGAGTGCACCAGCAGCGGAAATCGTCTCTGCATCGGCCACTGACCAAATGCTCTTTGTTCTTGCAGTGATCGTCGCAGCTGCCGTTGGTGAAGCAGGGTCCCCTATATGTGTCTGCCAGGTTCTCGCATCTCGCTGCCTCTGCAGTATGCACCATCACTTCTTCTGCATCCACCATATAATGCATTTGTCAAGTTTGAGCATTATTGACTAAGAAAGTCAAAGATGGTGAAGTTTTGTGGTAATGAGAGAATTTTTTATTTATTTCTCTTTTTCTTTCTTCCTCTCAAATTCCAGCAAGCACACATTTTATTCTTTATCTAAAAAAATTGGAGATGAAGTAAATGTTCCCTTCTTTGAATATTGTAATTTTGCTCCCTATAAGAATGAGAATATTGTACTTATCACATCTTGTAGTCATTACTATCAAATAGTTGCAGTACTATGCATTAAACATGACATTATTTACTTATCATCAATGAAAGTATTTTTCAATGATGAAAGTAACGACACGACTCCCATTTCCTGAAAAAAAAAAAAACAACAGTCCTATTTTGGAATTCCAGAACCTATTTACTCGTATTTAGGATAATTTTCCATTTTTTTTAATTAATGCACCTTTATACTAAGCTCGGGGGATTTTGGTTATTTAATACTCACTTTCTCCCGTCAAAATTAACTTTTTTATAATGGCAAACTTTGTGTTATTATATTGTGTATATATTTGTGCAAATTGAAAGTTATAAATTTTACTAGTATACATTTAAAGAGGTATTTAAATAATTTTTTTATATATTATAATAATTTCATATTAAGTACGTAGTATGTATTTTTTTGTGAAATAAAAAGAGTAGTTTTAATATCTCTTCTCTTTCTTGATTCTCAACTTCCAAGCGCAAGTTTTATTTTTTAATCAATTGTAACTGATAAGAACGTGCACAAAATTAAAAATGCTCCGTCTTGAATATTTTTTGCTTAATGTTTTCTCTATCCTAAAAAATGTGCACATTTATTTATTTAGATCAAGAATCAGATCGAGTTGAGTGATGATAATGGTATGTAAATACATCTATATATAACTACTAAAGTTTTTTATCATATCAATTACGAAGTATTAACTTTGTTACATATAGCGAGTGATATATATCGTTAAATGGGTTATGATTTTGCGTCACATATATATGCATGGAGTTATGGAACATTAAGATATGAGTGATGATAACTTACGAGCAACAAAGAGGAAAAGGAAGAGGAGGCACAAGCCACTGAGCGATTTCTTCTCCATATTTCTCGATCGATCGGCTTAGATATTGTTTTATGTTTAATTTGTGGTCTAGCTGTATCATATTAGCTACGCACACCGCACATATATATAGGTATAAGATGACTACCTTGCTTGAGTCCGAACTCCCCGGTACACGCCGGGTTACACACCAGTCAAATTGTTCGCGTACACACAATTTGACCGGCTACACAGACAATTTAACCGGCGTTTTATGAAGAAAATCGATTTCTACACAGACAAAAATAAAGAGTTGTCTGCATCACATACATTTTAGATGAGATTTTTTCATAAAATGTCCGTGATACAATCAATTTTAAATGAGAATTTTAAACGAGAATTTTAAAATGTCTGTGATACGGACATTTTTTTATTTGTGTGAAGATCGGTTTTCTTCATAAAACATCGGTCAAATTGTCTGTGTAGCCGATCAAATTGTCTGTGTGCAGACAATTTGACCGGCGTATTACCTCGCGTGTAAAAAGTGACGTGTACAAAGGGAACTTTCCAGCCAGGGGTGGAGACAGAGAGGGGTTGGAGGGGGCCTTGGCCCCTGCAAGAAAAAAAATCTTAAGTATATATTATGTATAAATACTTTGAATCTAGAAAAAATATGTTGATATTTTAAACTTTGGCCCAACAATGTAAAATTCTCAAAGCCGGGTCCCCTTAACCATTTCTGGCTCCGCCACTGTTTCCAGCTACCTTTAGGCTTTAGCTAGTCTTTGACTACGTACATGCTATCTAATATCTAAAACATAATACTCCCACCATTCTTAAATATGAGTCTTCTTAGGTTTTGGCACGGATTTTAAGAGGAAAATAATAGGGGTAGTGTAAAAGATATAGTGAGTTGTGGGTAAATGAAAAAGTAGGAAAGAGAAAGGGATAATGGTAATAAAAATGGGGATATAAAAGTATTTTGATTGAAAAAACTGACCAAAAAAGAAATAGGGACAAATAATTAAAAACGTCCAAAAAAAGAATGCGAGAGTTAATAAGAACAGAGGAGTATCTAAAAGTAAAAGAATTTGATGAAAAAGTTTTCCATTAGAAAATGTTTACATGAAAATCAATAAGGCACTCCTATCTTGTTTGCAACCTTTCTTATTCTCCGTATAGTGTTCAACCAAAACCGATATCGGAACCGGCTGTTTTTAACCTGAATCGGGGGTGGCTTGTGATTCGGAACAGGAGGTTCTAGACCACGGTTCGGTTCTTTGGATGTTGGGGGACCGGAGCAGTACCGGTCATGTTTCAGAACCATTTTTAATTAAAAATAAATAAATAAATAAATACGTACTACATTCGTTCCAAATTAATTTGCAAAATTGACATTTCTTGGTCAAATAGTTTCACTTTATTTACTTAATTAAGATGTCATTGTTTATTCTAATTTGGAGTTTGCAACTTTGAAGACATTATAATGCAGTTTTTGAATATATAAATTTTATTTATTAAAAATTGAATCAGATATCAATACGTGGGATTAAACTTTAACCATGATTGATCAGAAAATGATGACTTTTCAAATCGATTTGTGATAGAAGGAGTATATATATTAATAATTAATAATACTCCATATTCAAATGTTTGATACACTTATCTGATGAATTTTAATTTTTGCTATATTTTTCGTTTTTGGTAAATTTTCGTTTTAAAAATACCCAATTACTTTTATTTTTTCTATTTTTTTACCTGTTTTTGCATTTTTTTTCCCTTTTTGGAGAGACAATAGATTCCTTCTTTGCTGAAATTATTTCCCTCTCGATGCAATTATTTTTGGGTGTGAGTTATTAATGCCCGCCTACAATTTGAATACGTAGGATCTCTTTCTTCTTCTCAACCTCCATGTTCCAAGCGCACGTTTAATTTTCTTTCTAAATAAAGTGTAACCAAGGGCGGAGCTGAGGTGCCAGGCTAGGCCCCGACTCACCCTAAATTTAAAAAATGTCAATATTTTTAGTGTAAAAAATTTCGTATAATTTTTTTTCTAATAATATTCTTTGTACCGGCTCAGTCTGACCCAATGCTTTAATTTGGCTCCACCCCTGAGTGTAACTGATATAAATGTCCACAAAAGTCAAAAGTATAATGCTTCGACTTGTTTTTCCTTACGACATGTTTGGAAGTTGGTTTTCTAAGAGGGAGAGGAAAACATGGAGGGTTGATTTTGAAAAAATGATTAGGGAAGATTTTTGTGACCTTCCAAAAATTCATTCTTTTTGTTTGAGAGTTACAAATTTGAATCGAGGGGGATTGGGGAGGAATTATAATTAAAATTATTTCAAAGATATGATGAATTTAAATAGTTGAACTTGCATTCATTTTAAGGTAAGCTAAAATCACCATTTAATTAGTTATCTTCAAAAACTCCCAAATTTGTGAATCCTAAAAATTCAGCATTTGAATGGGTTTAAAAGGTCACAAGAACCCTCTAAAATGATTCCTTCTAATTTTTAAACTTCCAAATAAGAAGGAGATGTCATAAACCATATGAATCCCCCCCTCACCTCCAAGGCTCCAAAAGATAACTCCAAAATATACCATAAGGGTATGTTTGGAAGTTTGAAGGGAAGGGGAGGGGAAGGTTTTGGAGGTAAACCATTGGAAGGGAAGGAGAGGGAAAGGGTTGGAAACCATAATTGAGTATGTTTTGAAGTATCAAGTTTGAAAACATAAAGATTTTGGATGAATTATAATTAAAATCACTTCACATATATGACGAATTCAAATAATTGAGTTTATATTTATTTAAAATTGAGCTAAACTTGTTATACTTCAAGATCTTCAAATTTGGGGGAACTTGAAAATTGAGCATTTGAAGGGGTTTGGGGGGTTACAAAAGCCCTCCAAAATCATTCCATCCATATTTTTTATCTCTCAAACTTGAAAGGAAGGGTCATAAACCCTTGTCAACCATACCCTACCCTCCAAAACCCAACTCCCAAACATACCTAAAGGAATGTTTGGGAGTTTAGGAGGAAAGAGAGGGGAATGCTTTGAAGATAAGTTGTTGGGTTGGAAAGGGATGAGAATGTGAGGAAACCTTATTTTTATCTGTGGACCGGACTGGATAGAGACTGTCGAGTCATGGACCGGACCGGACAAGGACCACCAGTTCGTCGACCAGACCGGAACCGTCGGGTCATCGACCGGATCGGGACCGTCGGGTCATCGATCAGACTGGATCGGGTTTGCTCGGTCATCGACCGGACCAGACACAAATAATTTACGTTTTTATACATATTTTTGCGCATTGTTTTTTAGTAATTCATTTAATTGACTTCACAGTTGAATTTTTAGCTGAGTTTTTATGGACATAATAATCTACACTTGATGAAAAACATTCAATTAAAATTTCACAAAAAAATTAACTCGAAAACAAATTAGTCTAATATGATTATTTGATTAGTTTATTACTCGTAATTGATTCCATTCATAGTTGATTGTTTGATTTCTTAATTGTTGATTGTTTTCTATTGAGTGGTGATGTTATAGCTTATTGATGTTGTTATACAAACATTTTCAATTATGATAAAATTTATAAATTTAATTAATTTCAAGGTGTAATAAAAAGGATGGAATCTGAATAAGATTAATAAAAAAGAGGAAAAGATTAAGAGAAAAAGGCGCTAAATGAAAAAAGTTCAATGGAAAAGTTTGTTTGTGTAAAAAAGACTAATTCTGAATGTCTTCTTTAAAATGAGAACTCATAGAAGAACAATAATTTAACTACTAAAAATGAAATGATTCAGAATGATTACATCATTGGAGGGGGGATTTAAGAGGTGATAATAATAGAGTTAATTCTCTAAATATGACTTAAACATTGGTAAAGTGTACAAATAGGATCATCATTGTTTCCTTCCTAAATAAGGATCACCAATACTGTAATATGATTAATTTAGAGAGAATAGGTTTTTACAATTTTTTACAAAAGTTTTGAATTATTATTATTATTACTATTATGCATGTCAGTTTAGATAGAAAGGGGTTCTACAATTTTATGTAGCATTAGGTCCATTATAATTTTCCGGCCATAGGCCTTCGAACATACAAGGCCGCCCTTGTCAAGAGTAGACTCTTATTTCTGCATTATAACCTTAGTTAGTAGATACTCGGTGATATATATACTCATGGCTTGTTTACTAATAGAGATATTTTCCATTTTTCCAAAAAATTAAAAAATTGGAAAAATGGAAATAGAAAACGTGTTTACAAAAAAAACAGCTGAAAAACAGCTCAAATGGTGCACTCATTGAGAGTTTTACCAAACCGCTTTTCAAAATTAAAAAATGAAATATGTCTCTGTTTTCCTTAATAAATTGAAGAAGTGAGTTTTACTAGTATTCTAAATTTGGAAAACGCGGATGCTGAAGTGCCACTGCAATGAATTTGGATACTTACGCCTAGTGGTGGGTCCGGTCCCGCTCCAGTGTTAGTTCCAATTCAATAAACGACTCGACGATTCCAATCTGGTCCGATCAACGGCCCGGTGGTCCAGTTTGGTGTGGTCGACGACCAAGAATACCCAGTTCGGTCGAGTTGATGACCTGACAGTCCTAGTCCAGTGTGATCCAGTAGATGACCCGACGGTCCCGGTCTAGTTCGGTCAATGACCCGATGGTCCCTGTCTGGTCTGGTCAATGACTCGGCGTACCTGTCCAGTCCAGTCCATGTCCTTGCGGTCCCTGTCTAATCCGGACAATGACACAAGAGTCTCTGTCCGGTCTATCCACGACTGGGAGGTACTTGTCCCGATTCGGTCTGATCTAGTCAACGACTCGGCGGTTCCAGACCGCTCTGGTCAACAATCTGGCGGTCCCGTCCTGTTCGGCCAATGACCCGGTGGTCTTCGTCCTGTCCGGTCAACGATCGTGCGGTCCCCATCCTATTTGGCCAACGATCCGGCGGTGTCCGTTCAGTCCGATCGATAATTGTGCGGTCTCAAACCGGTCCCGTCAATGACCCTGTGATCCCTATCTAGACCAGCAAT